GATCTCTTCAAGAAAATTGGAGAAATCAAGGGAGCGTTCCATGCAAAGCTGGCCATGATAAAGGACAAAAACGGTAGGGACCTAACAGAAGCAGAAGAGATTAGGAAAAGATGGCAAGAATACACAGAAGAACTATACAAGAAAGACCTCGATGTCCTTGACAACCACGACGGTATAATCACTGACCTCGAGCCAGACATCCTGGAATGTGAAGTTAAATGGGCCTTAGAAAGCATTACTAACAACAAAGCTAGTGGAGGTGATGGTATCCCAGCTGAGCTATTCAAAGTCTTAGAAGAGGATGCTGTTAAAGTTCTGCACTCCATTTGCCAGCAAATTTGGAAAACGCAACAGTGGCCACAGGATTGGAAAAGATCAGTATACATTCCAATCCCAAAGAAGGGCAATGCCAAGGAATGTTCAAACTATCGCACAATTGCACTCATATCACACGCTAGCAAGGTCATGCTCAAGATCCTACAAGCTAGGCTTCAACAGTACGTGGATAGAGAACTACCAGAAGTACAAGCTGGGTTTCGAAGAGGTAGAGGAACGAGAGATCATATTGCCAACATTCGCTGGATTATGGAGAAAGCAAGAGAGTACCAGAAAAATATCTACTTCTGCTTCATTGACTATGCTAAAGCCTTTGACTGTGTGGATCACAACAAACTATGGCAGGTCCTTAAAGAGATGGGAGTACCAGACCACCTCACATGTCTCTTGAGAAACCTGTATAAGGGCCAAGAAGCGACAGTTAGAACCGGATACGGAACAACTGATTGGTTCAGCATAGGAAAAGGAGTACGACAAGGATGTATACTGTCACCTTGCTTATTTAATATATATGCAGAGTACATCATGCGAAATGCTGGCCTGGATGAATCACAAGCGGGAATTAAGATTGCTGGGGAAAAGATCAACAACCTCAGATATGCAGATGATACCACTCTAATGGCTGAAAGTGAAAAGGATCTAAAGAGCCTCTTGCTCAGAGTAAAAGAGGAGAGCGCAAAAGTGGGCTTGAAGCTCAACATCAAAAAAACTAAGATCATGGCATCCGGCCCCATCACTCCTTGGCAAATAGAAGGGGAAGTCGTGGAAGTAGTGACAGACTTCACGTTCCTGGGATCCCAGATCACCGCAGACTGTGACTGCAGCCATGAAATTAAAAGACGCCTGCTCCTTGGGAGGAAAGCGATGGCGAACCTAAACAGCATGATAAAAAGTAGAGACATCACCCTGCCAACAAAAGTCCGCATGGTCAAAGCAATGGTATTCCCAGTAGTCATGTATGGCTGCGAGAGCTGGACTATAAGGAAGGCCGAGCGCCGAAGAATAGATTCTTTTGAACTATGGTGCTGGAGAAGACTCTTGAGAGTCCCTTGGACTGCAAGAAGAACAAATCAGTCAATCCTCAAAGAAATCAACCCTGACTGTTCCCTGGAAGGCCAGATAATGAAACTGAAGCTCAAATACTTTGGCCACCAAATGAGAAGGGAGCACTCACTGGAGAAGACCCTGATGCTGGGAAAGATTGAAGGTCAAAGAAGACGGGGACGGCAAAGGATGAGATGGTTAGACAGTGTCA